GCTTTCTAAGTCCGCAATTGTAATCAACTGCCCCCTGACTCAGAGGCTGGATCCGTCCTTGTTTTCAATGTGTGGTAGGGAGAGGTGGGGGGCGCATAATTCATCCTTTGCCTTGGGGCTCACAAAAATGGGACACCCTGTATAGTTGCCAATATTTTAGAAATGTGCCCTCAAATGTCATGTATAACATGCCATAAATATATTTTCCCAAAATGTGTTTGTTTATGTTCCGTCCATACATGGATGGGCCACCCTGTATATATATTGTTAAAGAATCTCGGTATGTCGTATAGATCTTAACATGTGGTTAAAAGTATCCATGGGTTTATTTTTGGTATGATTTTCAAAGACTAGAAATGAATAAGTGAAAATGGCTGAAACCAACGAATTCAGACTAAGTAGAAGGAGTCACTGAAGGATGTACTCGTATCTCTTGATTCTCATAGTCTGTAGTGAGGACCAAAGTGAACTTGACATTTAGTCAATTTTTTGACAGTTTTGTCATTATTAATATTTTTCGTGTCATTTTTTCAAAGTTCGAGTGTTTTCAGGTAATTGATTTCAAGACATGGTACTACTTGCATAATTTGCAAAAAACGGTACAAGCATATTGAAGGTAAATGTTTCCACTGGTAAATATTATTATTATTATGTTGATACAACGCTTTCACTTTGGTAGGCATTGGTAGACAAATGAGTCAAAAGTCATTTAAACTGCTCAATTTTGGCGACAAACGCTGCGATGTAATCGATTTTGTAGGTTGAAACAGATGCTAAGTATAGTACCATTGAGGACAGAAAAAGAAGCAATACTTTTCCTTCCTGCAAGAATTTCATTCATCGATGACACACAAAAGGACAACTGCAAATTGCGTTCATCCGATAGCAATCTATAATCGAGTGTCAACCTGTTTATATGTGTGGAGAACCGGTCATTATATTATTGTCGCGTCACTATTATCAGAAGGCAAAACCGGGAGGCACTCCCGTCTGGAAGGTTTATAGATAGCCACTAAACCATTTGTAATTGGTCTTTGTTGCGAAGAATTGCCTGTTCATCATTTGGCGCACCGCGATTATTGGATTTGCCCGACCATAACTAATCTGCGGATAGCAGCGGAACAGACTCTGTGGTCGCGGTAGTCTTCTGTAGGTAGTTGTTTGGATTATGAATTGTGAAATTAATATCAATAATACGACCGACGGAGAGATATTAACGTTTCATCTTTTACCCATTCCATTTACGATATATCCTATCCACATCTTTGCGTGTTACAAATAGGTATTCAGAGTACTAGACCGATCACTTCAGTTTATTGGTGAGACTGGTAGCGACTTCTTCTGTGACATGTTATCACTGCCTGGGGGTAGTAATTTCGTGCTTCTAGGGCCCGGTTTTACTAATCCGTGGCCCAAAAAAGCGCGACACTAAGAAAATAATTATTGTTTGTGTAAGGTAGCATATTAGAAAAATAAAAATACGCCATAAATCACTTGGTTTAGCTCCAACAGTAAATTTTTTCATCTGTGTCCGTACACTAAATTAGCGACCATGGACAGAGAATGCACCAGTGAAAAAGAAGTCATACTTAAAGCAGGGACACAAATCTGATACAATATCTAGGTTAATACGACAGCGATTAAATAAGCATTTTGCTTGATAAATTCTTTTAAGACATAATCAAAATTACAGACTGATTATTCTTCAACAAACATGGAGCAAATATTAAATTTACTTGACTGCTGTGCGAAAAACCCTGCCTTAAGCCAGCCCTGTCAACAGGGAGCTCACGCTCCCCCTACTGGGCATTAACACGACTACTTTTTGCCTTGCCACCGTCACCAAGGCGCGACGTGGTGGCATAGTTATCCCACCGTCCAGCAGAGTGCGCGACATGTCCCTGTCCCAGGGCTGAGGATCAGGGTTTTTCGCACGGTAATCAAGAAAATTGATTTTTTAATCGGTGTTGGTTGAAGAATAAGCATTCTGTAATTTTATGTATGTCTTCAAGGAATCTATTAAGCCGAATTTTGAACAACAACAGTGAGACACTGTTATTCTTAATAAAATGCTAAATGACGTCATGTCAATCTATTGTACCAGGTTTGATCCATCTTTCGCGTAGGCGAAAAGTCCTTCTTTTTGATTCGTCGAATTTGCGACTATACGCAAATCCTTCTTTTCCAAAAGTAGAATTTTCGTCAACTTTTGCGTCCGGATACTAATGAAAAATAGGTTTTTGCACCGAATTCATGTAGTACATGAATGATTTCTTAATTTAATGAGAATTCGGAGCCTATCTTGCAGAAATCGTATAATTTTTCTCTAGTTTACAGACATTTTACAAGAAATCGGCCAAATTCATTAGATCTATGCATTCTCATTGGTTCATTTTGTGCCAGATGTGCAAATTTTGACTCCAACGGGTGGATAGTAAAATCAGGCCTAAGTCACAGTACTAAAGGTACATTAACCTATAAGAAACACCCAAACGTTTTTTCCAATACTGATGGATAATCCATCGAGAAGTCATTCGTTTAGATTGTCGAATTTTACACCACTACACGCATGGAGACCCAGAGAGACCCGTCAGGCTTCTGCTTATCATCTAAACTTGGTCGAAACAAGCTACTGAAAGGAACCTTCTTTAGCCAGTTCAAAAACACGCTGAGACATCATATATTCATCAGTCGTACTAGTACTGCGTTATCGGTTCCTTCAATATATTCGTAGTTGTATTATTTTTCATTAATTTTGTTTTTTATTGAAATGTGTAATTTTCATGAAATACTACCGGAATTTTTTACCTTACCTAGTGAAAATTCAAATCATCTCAGAGATCAGTGAAAAAATCACGATGGCTAAACGCTGCGATTTTCTATATCAGTGTCCAGGATGTGCGTTCACAAACCGAATTTTTTTGCTGCATAGTAGCCAATAAGAGCTGCGTGGTGTTGTAAATAATTATTTCAGATCAACGGGACTGGATTAGCCCTAACGCAATATTGTTATTTTTTGAGTTCCGTATAATAATGATTCATCGATATTTTTGGTGCTTTAGTTGAAAAAAATTTCGAGAAAAACAGAGGGAATGTATAACCTTCTGATCGCTAAATATGAATCTCTTCCAGAACTAACATGATTTCGAAACAACGGTGCCAGGTAATGGGTCCTGTACCATACTGAACTATACTGAATCGAATAATTTATCAATATCAAAGAAGAGTACTTTTTTCCAGCTTTTCAAAAACATCATAGCTGAGTCATTCTTATACAGGATGCAAAAAACGTTTCTGCTAGCCCGTTTCTGACGATCTATGAAAACAAGCACACAAGACACTAATTAGTTATTGTGCTGTCAAGTTTTCGTACATAATCGCTCAGAAAAGAAAGACCAAAATATAGTGCCACCCCAGAAAGGGAGCACCGCAAAACCTGTTTGGCAGGAACTTCGCACACCGTTTTTTTAGAGTTGTGTGTGAATCTTTGAGTTCGGTCACAAATTCTTGGACACGATATAGGTATAATCTAGTACATGTATGGTTATGATAATACAGAAGTTCCATGATTGCCTAGAGTTAGTCTAAAGCTTTATTTACACCCTATACACCAAGAAATACTCATTTATCTGCCAGCCTCCATAAGATTAATAACCTATAAAATTCCCATACCACCTTTGCATTATGTTTAATGCTCGTTTATATAGCGTCAGCTTATAGATGTAGCATAAATCACTACAATTTATTATCAGTCCTACCTAGTGTTTTCGTTCGTTAGTTGGTAGTTATTATCTTGATAGACTCTTTCTCCCTCTGTTTCATTCATGATACCACCATGCTATTCACTGTTTCGTTAAAAACATTCAGACACATAATTGAGTAGGTCTACAACGATATACATATATAGAGATGAGTGAATTTGAAAAAAAATCACAACCACAATTAGTGCAATTTAATTTCGTTCCAAGTGACAAGTGTAGGAATGGGCTAATTTCCATCCTACACATAATTACACTATTTTTTTGCCCATATATCGGAGAAGTTTGGAAAATCGTTCATTGACAGATCGAGCATAACCATACATTTCATGGCAAACTGTCAATGCCAAAAATTAAAGGTTATTTTCATAACATATGACGGAACAGGGCTACATTCTAAGGAAAGGTCTCGGAAAAGTATACTACATCACGCTAGAACTTAATGGAGACTTCTGGAAATCACAAAAACCGCATACGTAAGGTTAACTTCAACGTTATTTGGACACTTAGGCCGATGATTCACGTGTAACAATTTTCAAAGGAGGTTAACGTTAAAGTTTAAAAACTCTCTATTTTGTCACAGCTTTGGCGCGAAAAGTGTTTGAACCATGGAGGGCAAGATTTGCCACACCTCGTTCACAAAAAACTTTCTACTAAATTTTATATTCCTCAAGAAACTTGACTACGCACAGAAATCATGAAGTACCTAGGACCTAGGATCAACAGACCCAAAAACATTTTCCTTTTTGACTGCAAATAGTGCGCAACTCAAAAAAATGCCAGGTGGAAAGCGACGAAAATACAGAAACAGCTAATTTGTTACTTATTAATTTTAACTCTGCTACTACTCATCAATCTCCAAAACTAACAGCATTACCTACTGTGTCTCCTCACCAACTCATCATTATTCATATCAGGCGCCAACACAGGGACTAAAATAAACGGCATGGATTTTCTTGTTTGATTATGAATCACTTATGAATATCGCTATGCGAGATTGGTAATTCTAAGGAGTAAAATCGGGTTTACCTTAGCTACTATAATACCACAATAGGTATATCGCTCCTTTGTCATTTCATTACATTCAGTCTAGCCTCTACTGACATGGATTAGAAATGAAATAAAAGCTTATTGTGAACGTCAACTTGTTTCAAACATTCTGAACGTGTAGATTTTATAAATTATACGAACTGTAATGTTATTTGAGGAACAACATTTTCACTGCGTTTAAATCTTTTTCAGCCTCTCCTAACATCAGTTCGCCATCACAACTCGCGTCACCACAAACACCTGCAGGATCGATTCAAACGGCAGCAAGGCGCGCATCTCTACCTGCCGGGCAGTTACGTCACAGACGGTGGAGATGGACCTGACCAGGGACCCTGGGAGGAATGGTCAGCTCCTACACCTTGTTCCAGGACCTGTGGAGGGGGTGTGGCCACACAAACGCGATACTGCCAACCGGGGTATCAGTGCAGTGGACCTTCCTCCAGGCATTTCTCATGTAATACGCAGGTATGACATTTTATATCAAATAAGTAATAATAACGCTGCTGGTCAGGGTTACTGAGTCGCTTTAGTATATGATATTTACAAGAAATTTTATTTCAAATAATCCATTCTATTATTCAGCCATTGCTGTTATCAAAAAAGAAAACACTCGACTATGCAGGGCATTAATAGTACAACTTGGGTCCATAAATCTCCTTATAGTTTCGAAATTGATTAAAAAAGTATATCTTCGTGGAGAGAATTTTGAACATAACCAATATGAGTAGAAAATGGGATATTTTGACCACCAACAAAAGAAAGAAGAAAAACCTTTCCTATGCCACTGAATTTTTGAAACAGGATGTCTTTGAGAGCTTTGAGATCCTTCCTTAAAACTGATATGAACATATGAAGTAAAGTTCGTGAAATCAAATCTACTGAACTTTATCTTGGTCAGGATGCTTTTCCGGACCTCTGTTTACATAAACTTTTTTCTTTAGAATCGTGTACATTATTAACACCTTGTACAGTAGTAATGAACAAGAGTTCTCGTAATTTCATAAAAATTGGTTTCCTGAAAAACTATCAGATCAAGAACTTTCACGGCATTGATACTTCTAAACTTTTCATGGATGCCAATTTACCAGGGATAATTATGCAAACTACTGACAAAAGAACACAGAAGGAGGGAACTACCCAGCTGTTGTTCAATGCGTTCTATTTTTGATTGCCAAAACGTTATGGGGAACACGTACGTACGTATTGGTCTCCTCTGGACTCGGATTCCCTCTCAACAAAAATGTGAACCACTATTTCCGATGGGCATCAAGGGAACAGCAAAACAGATGAGACATAGGGTCCAAGAAAAAACTATAGGTTCAATCAGGCTCCAGTACGGCAGAAGTTCTAATATTGAGTAAAAGCAGGAAGAGTAGTTATTCACAGCACACCTACAAAAAGTAGAATCAAGCCCCCTTTCGGGTAATGTCCCAACTAGCAAAGTAGTGGTATAAGCTTTTGGTAAAAGAACCGTTCAGTCATAAAAGTTCTCTATTGTTGTTGCCTGAACACCAAAATGCTGGCTTAATGTTGTGTGGAATGCAAATTTGCTTTCTGCAACATATTTGCTCTAAAATGAGGTGTTTCAAATATTCTTATAGCATACAACACCTTATAGGGCAAAGTTTTAACTGTTGCATAAACGTTTATACAACTATTTTATACGTCATATTTGCACGTTAGTCAAAATGGTTGTGTTATGGCATCCATGGTAACGTTTATAAAACAAACCCGAGCCTTGTTGTTTTGTTGTGCAAATTAACTGTTGTTTAGTAATTATTAAAGGCAGTACATATGCTAAATATGTTGGTATACAACTTCACCATAACCTAACTTTCTGCTGTCATATGTTTGTTAAAATGCCATAACCAATGTTTAAAGACAAACAACGCATGCATATTGGTTCAAAACGTTTTATCAACTGTTCAAACAGAAGATACAGATATGGTACAAATTCTGGGTAAATCATTCGACTCTGTCGGTATTTCATTTCAGACATTTGTCAAATTGTTGTATAAACCTGCAGGCAACACCACAATATTCTAGTAACCTATAGACAACATGAACGATGCCATGATTATACACAACCACCCGCCATATTGGGCAAACATTTATTCCTCTATTTAATATTAAATAATTATGTTTCAGTTCGAAATTACAGATATAAAGTGATAAACATTAGTGTAATTGTGTCTAAATATGTATAAGGTTTAACGCAGATAAGTTCAGTTTTCCATCTTAAAAATGTAGACATACTTTTGATCATTATCAAAATATGAATCAAATACGAAGCCCGTAGAAATTGCGTAACTAATTTGCACGATAATCACAATAAAATTTGCTGCGCAAGTAATTCAATAGCCCTACATCGCAGTGTAGAAGTTTATCATATACATGTCTTTGAAACTCACAATGGCCGATATGTAAGTAAACAAGATGACTGTAATGTGTTAGTTATATATTCTTCACTTCGTCTATACAATACATAAGAAATAGTTTGGTTGCAATAAAGTATAATCACGTAACAGGATAGTTGTATAGTTGACAAAAACTGAATCTTGCACTTACGCAAATGTCCTATAGCGGCTGCAAGAGGCTTACACTTTTGTTGTATAACTGTTACCTGCAGCCCTTATACAACCTCTTAAATGACTGAAGTGTGCTATTAGGTGTGCCTATTCGGCTTGTATAGCTGTTCTAAGAGGGTTTTGCCAATGTTCTTACAGTATACTTACAATGCTGTTTAAGGAATACTGTATAATCATTCTTGCAACTCTAATAGGAGTGATAATTGTTAGTTGGGGTAGCTGTTGGATTGGTAGTTCCTACTATCTGGAACCGTAGCCATGATCTGTGCAGAAACGGCATATGGCTTCTTCTGCCAGACTCAAGAGCCTCATGTGTCGATTTAGACGACAATGTCCTGTCAGGAGACCCACTATAGCACCTATGGCCTATTAAAAACGAGTAGGTCCTCTGTAAATTCGGGCTTTCGTTCTTTGATGAACTCGATGAACTAATTGGCTGTTCCACCATTCTAGCAAAATTTTGCACTTGAGTGTTTAAAATCCACCGAATCAAAAGAAATCGTTTTCTAGGTTTCACAACATAATTCTTGGAAACAGTAGATTATTTTCAAAAATAATAATGGATGCGCTAGACTTCAATTTTACACAAAAGCCGGCAACTCTTGAACCTTATCCCCTCTATTATAATGAATTCAAGAAAATAATATTATTTCGTGAATAACCAATATATCTGTTTCCAAATACATACGCTGTTTTAAGTTTCATGAATCATTGAGCTTTCAATATTATTATGATCTCCAATTCCATATTGTTACGGATTATATCTAGAAATCAAATTCCGAGATCAAAATTATGCTATTATTCCTCCAATTGCACGAAATTATATAGAAATACATCAAATTGAATTATCACCATTGTTGTCATTATCTACGGTCACCGAAGCTAATTTCTCATGAAATGGATATTGTGTGTACCGACATTATGTCCACATGGGTGGGCCTCTTTCATCTATAAGATTTGTGGCGCACCTCTGTATTGTGATTCAAATGAATTGAAGCTATGGACGAAAAAGTATAGGAATGTTGAACTTAGTGTACAGGGCCCGTCAAAGCAGAACGTTAAAAATGAAATTTAAAAAACTATCGCAAGCAATAATAGGCAAGTGCACGGCCATTCTAGGGTATTAAAGATATTCATTGTTTCAATTATGTATATTTTATTTTCAAATTTCTCGGAACTACATATACTTATTTAATTTTGTCCATATTTTTTCTAGGATTGTCCTGACAGGGCGGACTTTAGGGCACAACAGTGTGCAGAGTTCAACAACATTCCATTTGAAGGAGTGAATTACGAGTAAGTACATTTGTCTTGATTTTGAGAACCTTTTGTCTAAATGTAAACACTTAATTGCAATATGTCAATCCTAAAACTCATACTTCAAACAATACAAATGGCGAATCGAGCATTATTATTACACATTGATAAATGTACTAATGTTTTTGAAATTTTCAGTTGGATACCGTACACGAAAGCACCGGATCCTTGCGAACTAAATTGCATGCCAAGGGGTGAACGATTCTATTACAATCATGCAAGGGCAGTGAAAGATGGTACTACTTGTAGCGATGAAGGGTTTGATGTGTGCGTTAACGGGACGTGCAGGGTAAGCATTGAGATATCTGAAGAAGTATTTGATCAGAGCAATCTTTACATGAGGGAATATAGACGCCTGGAACCAGTGGAACTGGAGTTAACCACTTGAATGAAAGTAGAATGAGCGAATGAATAACTTGAGCTCAAGCAAATTGATCTCATAAAGCTTTTCATGCATTGCAAAGATATGAACGCAACATCTTTTCGTGGTGTAAAGCAAAGCTAAATTTTGTAGGAATCTGATCTAAAACGACTTGAATACCTATATAGATTTTCCTAGAACCCCCTTTGATCTACGTGATGTAACAAAATCGTTATGGATTTTTATATAAAATTAATTTTGATTTTCAGCCAGTTGGGTGTGACATGATGCTAGGCTCAAATATGAGAGAGGATCAGTGTCGTGTATGTGGGGGAGATGGAAGCACATGCAATACATTTTCTAGTTCAATACCTATGAAAGACATGCAAGGAGGTATTTGAGTTTTAGTTTCTACAATTGTTTTCATTCAAATATCCTCTGGCATTGGATAAAACACTTCTTGGAATTCTATCAATTTTTAGGCTACAACGACATACTGCTGATTCCTGCCGGAGCAACAAATATTAGGGTACAAGAAACAGATGCATCTAATAACTACTTAGGTAAGTGAATCAATTTAGCAGCAATGTAAAAGTGTTTCATAAAGACTAAGTCCATCCTTTTTTAGCGGTTCGTAATACCAGCGGGCATTACTACTTGAACGGAAATTGGAGGATAGACTTTCCAAGAAATATAGAATTTGCCGGCACTAGGTTTAAGTACGAAAGGGAACCTCAGCAATTTCCTGCGCCTGACAGGATAACAGCATTAGGACCAACAACAGAGCCACTCTTCGTCGTGGTAAGTCAACAAAAAAATATTTATTTGTTATTATATCCAGTAACAATAGTACAGTAGTGATGGAAATGCGTTTTGTTCACGCTGCACATTTTCCGCGAAAAAATGATGACTAATACTGTACACCTCAAGCATTTGACAAATTAACACGTACTTATGAAGGAAGAGATATATCACAGAGGGTATTCAAATGTTTCGACAGCATTTTACGAATTGCATTAAATAACTAATTACTATATTAATCTACTGCATTTCAGTTACTTTATGAAGATTCTGATGTACCCGTTGATTATACCTACAGTTTACCTACTCATGTCCCAGTACCATCGACCGAAACCTATGCTTGGACTTACGATGAATTCACCCCTTGCTCAGCCACTTGTGGTGGAGGTAAGAAATATCTGCGTTGTATCGTAGTATAGGGTTTTCTCTAATTAGACAAAGATGTTGTTTACATTCATTTTTCAAGAAAGATGCAGTTCATACCCAGTTTTGCGCTAGTGTATTGGAAAAAAAACTCATTAGACACGTTTATATCATTATATCATTTGAATTATCTGTATCTTCTGCCGAAAAAATCAGCCGACAAGATATGATTTTTCTTATGAATACCGTTATAGATCGTAAAAGGAATCTTGCTCATATCTGACTGATGCCTAACCTCCATGGGACTTCTATACATGTAAATGTCACGTCAGCCTAGAACTCAGCTTTGACGCAAAATTTTATATTTGAACTTGGGAGGACAAGTTTGGCTTTTTTTGTTCGTAGAAAAAAGCTGAACCAGTCAGAACGCTATTTTTTTTTAAATTCTCCATTGTAAATACATTCAAACTGATGATATTCTAGTACTACAAAAAAAACAAATTGACAGGAAAAAATTTAATAAAATCGAGTACTGAAATGGCGATATACATTGCAATTAGTCCATGTTGGTTTACGGTTGGCCTTGCCCACGGTTTTAAAAATTGGCATCAACCTACAATACGTGCATAGTATTACCAATTAAATTTCGTTAATATTTAAAAGCATGGTACTTTTTTTAGGATTCTGTAGTAGCTTTGAGTTTCAATTAATTTTAGATTAATGCAACTATGTGTAAAGTTTTGAGTTCCTCCTCCTAACGAACACAATGAAACCATAAATAATATGACGGCATGTTGCAAGCGTTCATATTATTCTCTGATTTACATTTGTAAGTCAGAAATTAACTAAATAAATTTATTTTTATAACAACGTTTTGTAGCAAATATTATTTTTCGAACTACTGTTGAATTTGGTGAGTTATAGCCAGGTTTATGATAGATAATATTTCAGAAAAAAAAAGTGTTTCACTATTCATTTTTCATGTAACTTCTCAAGTGGTTCTAAGTAAATAACTTCTTTAGAAAACTCTTCTTTGTACCTATTTCTTTGTTGCTTGTAATAACAGCCTATTCGGAATGTGAGACAATAAGGCGTTTAGCTAATATAAAGAGGTCCAGCCGCGCATTTATGCAGAATAGTAAACAGCAGTAGCCATGAGATTCGTCAGTTTTACAAAAACTTTCACTTTGCTGTAAAATTTGATTGTATTTTGATCAACTTTTGTGAACTGTCAAAGCTATTCTACGGCCTCTACATTCAGCATAAAAGGGTTGCACCACTTGACTGCCTTACTTCGCTGAATACACTCAATAACATATATTTGGATTTCGACAAGGTCAGCTCCGCCACTCTGCCGTATAAGAATGTCGCTTGATAACCAAAAAACAGTAGCGCTTATACTTATTGGCTTTACTAAAGCATTTGACACAATTAATCATTCACTTCTCGTGTCTAAATGCAGTTATTATGGATTTTCTGAAAAACCTCTTTCGGTTATTCAAACCTACCTTACAAAAAGATTTCAAAAGGTGTACCACAGGGATTTTTCTTTGGACACTTGTTATTTTCATTACATATCCCACACTTAGAAACAGAGGTAAAAGCATGCAGCATACAATTTTTTGTCGACGATACTCAGGTTTTCTATTCGTTTAGGACTAATAACTTGGACACAGCGAATAGTACATTAATCAAGACCTTGCTTAAATTGAAAAGTTTAGTAGTAGTCATAATCTTCGTTTACCCTTTACCTTTACCCTTTAAAGACAAATATTATGGTATACGCAAATAAAACAAATAGAAATGCTTTAAAAAGTGACAAACTTAAATTTAAAAGTTAATTAAATGGGTCCTGTGGGTCATTCTGAAAGCCGACCCACACTCACGCGAGAATCTCGCCGATAATCTCGGAAAGAGTCTCAGCGAAAATCTCGGCGAATTCTTTGGGTCCACACTCGCAAGGTTCTCAATGCAGTTCTCGTGCTCGATTTCTTGACTTTGTAGCTGGCTAATAAAGATTTTTTGACTTTTTAATTCTTTTAGTTTATTTTTATATTCTTTTAAATTTCGGCTCAGATTGATGCTCAGTAGTAAATCCCATGCACAACCGTTCTAATCGGCGAGTCACCTGCCACTGAGAAACGTGCGAATGTGGAGTCAAACAAGTTCTCGCCTGTTCTCTCATTCTCAGCTCTTTTTTCTGGCGCCAAAAACCGACAAAAATCGGAGAACAAGCCGGGAACCTGCGAAGATTATGAAAATCAGTTCCACATTCACATTTCCCATGTTTTTCTCGTTTTCTCGCGTGAGTGTGGAGAGGCAAGTATTATAGTAGATAATGACGTAAAATTTGTTGAACACGCAAACCATCTAATTTCGCAGTGCTGTGCTATTCTTATTTGCAAATAAGGGTATATTACATGTCTGCGAGAGAGCACGTGTGCAAATCTTTCTCGTTTTCAAAACTATTGTTTTGCTTAATGGTTTACTATTCATATTTATATATTATAACAAAAAAATGGTATTCACAGTATTATGAATACATGTTGCAGACTTGTAAATTATCTCCGAAAATACAATCATATATCGAAGGCCATTAATGACCTCAAATGGATGAAACTTGATAAAATGTATAAATATCAGCTGCTAAGTCTGACTCATACAGTTCTTCATTCAAAAACACCGTCGTATTTAGTAACCAAATTCATACGTAGATGAAATATGCATGGCATTAATATTAGATATAGAGAATCTTTCAATTCCAGGCCACAGCTCATCTCTATCTCAGAATGCATATATTTACAATGCGATCAAAATATACAAATATAATTCCTTATATCGTAGTATAAAAGAAACTAATTCATTACTCAAATTCAAGAAGAAGGTGAAAGAAATATCTACTTGATCAACAGCTAAATCTGTTGTATCCCAAAGTGTTAACTGACCTTATGTTTTCTGTATGTCTTTGCATTAATTATGCTTTATTATCGTCGTTACTGTATACAGGTACTAATTTTCATTACTACTATATATATTCCAGGCTATCAATATCGCAACGTAACATGCGCCGGCCGCACAAGCCTAGACCCCGTCGAGCGCCACCTATGCGACTCAAATACCGAACCAGAGATGAGAAGGCGGTGTGCAGAAATAGCTTGCCCCGCCCAATGGGTGGCGCAACCGTGGAGGCGGTGCAGCAAGCCGTGCGGAGAGGGCGGGACGCAACAGCGTGACGTCACATGTCAGAGGATCGGATCCAATGGGATGCCACAATTGGCCGAAGAAGCGGAGTGTCTTAAAGAGGGCGGTAGAAAACCGCCGGAGGAACAGGAGTGCAATAAAGGAACGGAGTGTGCCAAGTGGCATACGGGGCCCTGGAAACCGGTAAGCTTTTAAGACCTTATCTCCCGGTGGCTTGGTAACATCAAAAACGAGTCGCAGTATTCGAATGAAAGACGCAAATAAATGACTTCAAAATTATAATTGAGAAATATCTTCATGGGGTCAAAAATACCAAATATGATAAAAAGTACTATGGGCAGCTGTTTCTTGCTTCTTGGCTACTCATCAGCATGTCCTAGGCTTGGTCTTTTCCTCTGGTCAAGCAAACAAAAGCATCGCAACTATCCTTTATATCGGAGGTACGGTCTATCGAAATGAAATAGAGCAAAGCGCACACCAGCATTGGCCTCTGCGGAAAGCGCATAGCTGCGTATTAATCTAACGAGGTAATCTGGAAAGGTAGATGTAGAGCGCGCTATTTAGGTTGGGATAGGTGTCCAGAATTATACACAAAAATTTCAATTCAACTGCTAGGAATCTCAGTTCACGTTTAATATCCCAGTCACCATGTGAATTCTAGATGGCTGGATCACTTGAAGCATAAGAATATACAGAAACAGCAAACCTTACAAGATAATGTATTTTATTGGAAAGAAAAGTCTTACAGATTTGGAAATCAAAAGTCAACCAGAGTACCAACGCTCAAAAACGTTAACTCTCACATGTCTTTTCTGTAAAACTCCGGAGACCTTCGGTCAAGAACGTCAGAGAAACGATTTTTACATAGCCTCTTTTGAGTCGAATATTTACCTTTTTACATAAGATGAAAGCTTCAAATGGTTCTGGCAGAAGTTCCCGTTTTTGCAGGAAAACATTCGCCTTAAACGACAATGTTTCTGTCCAAAAGTAATATCAAATGTATTTCACGATTGAAAACCAGAAATTTAACCATTACCTTCAGCCAGAACAGCTGCTGCAGTTTCTTGTTTCGCCGATCCAACAAATTTAACTCATTTGTCTGCATTCGGCTCTTGAGCTGAGTTTGAATTTCTGTGTGGTAAGTGAGCTATGTGAACCAATGTTTTCACCACCACTCTAATACAGCAATTAGCATACTATGAATATATAACTTGAAGGTAGGATATGCAGAATTAACATCAAACCACTATTAAATTCTAAAATCAACAATAATCCACAATGTTATAATTTAAACCAACTTGATCATTAATCATTGATAAGTTAAAAATTAAATGTAAACCCAACATTTAATTTAGAAACATTATAGTTCAATCATAAATTTTCGTTCATTTATTTGGAAGAAATTTACGAGATCGGCCAAACAGTTCAAAAACGCTCTTTCTCGCAAGCATTCCTTGCGATTCACTAGGCTTTCAAAAAATCATAAAATAAGCCTCAATTAATTGGAATTTAATGCAGAAGGCATATGAGATGAACATGCGTGTAGTTACCAGAATTTTAATCAAATTCTTTTTATTTATAGTGCGATCACCTTTGCGGCGATGGCACCCAAACGAGGAAGGTTCAGTGTTATATTGAGAGAGACCACAAAATCGACATTCTTGATGACGCTCAATGTGAAGCGATAGAACCCAAGCCCGAGGAGATGCAAAGATGTAACTTGAGGCCTTGTGAGGGCGTTGATTGGATCACCTCCGAATGGGGTGGGGTAAGCAAACAATCGTTTTGATGAATTTAGAAATTGATCATAACATTTCAAGTTTATCATAAGAATATTCAATCCTGATTTTTTACACATTATGTACTGTGCTAAGGTCAAATTGGACATATTTGTGGAGGTACAATGAAAATCGAAAGTGTTACAGGCTGATAGAATTCTAGCTTTTTTACTTTTCAGTATATGTATACTAGAATAGTACATGAGGTCTTAAAACTTAGAAGCAAAAAAATATATCGGATCAACCTGATAGTCTCATATCTTTTCTTCAGTGTGATAGGATTTGTGGACTCAAAAACGAAACAAGGAAAGTGTACTGTGCAACAGCAGAAGGTGAAGTTCACAAAGATGAACTCTGTGACGCTGATCGAAAACCGGAAATTGTTAGAGAATGCGACCAACAGAATGCCACCTGTGAATATTTGTGGTACGCATCTCAATGGAGTGAGGTGACTACATACAGCTTTTTTCTCTAGGATTAACTACCATCAGAGCTTTACAAAACACATATAGCTTTTTTCCATTATTAGTAAATTTTATATTTATATTTATGAACCTAGAGCTTTCAATTTATATTTTAGTGTTCAGTTACTTGTGGAGAAGGCGTTCAAACTAGAACTCTATTTTGTGGAGTAGTCACTGAAGAGGGCGTTAAGAAAGTGGAAGATGAAAAATGTGATCAAAATAAGAACTTTGAGACTATGAGGAACTGCACTGGTGGAGAAAAGAAATGTCCAGGAGAATGGTTCAGTGGACCGTGGGGTGAGGTAAGCATTTCAAAATTGGCTGGTCAAACCTAAGCCGACTATACATTGGACTTTGACTAGAATTACAATGCACATACGGAGATAAATTATTGTTTTTTTCTCGATTAATAGTGCTCCAAACCTTGTGGAGGTGGTCGTCGTTCCAAGAAAGTTGTATGCATCAAGGACTTACAAGTGGTAGATCCATCCAATTGTGGCTCTGACAACATTGTCTTCCAAGACGAAGATTGTAACACGCATGCGTGTTCTGAAGGTATGTGTTTGGGGCGTAAACAGGGTACTTATGGCCCATTAAATTTGACAATAGGACTCTATTGTCTTCCCAAATCAAACCACTTTCTTCTTTTTTTCTTATACATATAATACAAATTCCACCCTCAACATTGAGATCTCGGAAACGGTAAGAGTTACGGAGTCGCTTAAATGAGGGCAAAGTTGCCTATTTAGGTAACTAAAAAATGCAGCTTAGAAAGTTTCGAAGTTCAAAGTACTTCCGTAGAAAAACGGATAAAAACGATTTTTTTCTCGACTTTATTTGTAGCGGAATTCCAAAATAAATTGCAAGTTAACTTTGTCACTTTTTCTTCTCTACACGATGGCATACTTAGAATTTCAATACGACGTTGCATCTCTTGTCCATCAGCATCAACTTTTTTTTCCTTGTGGACGCCATATTGAATTTTTGCACAGATGAATAGCTTTTAATTCTGATTCCAAAAATGTATAATATGTCATTCATTGACACTGTCAAGACTTAATTATTCAAGAAAAACAAAAGATCTTAGGTAGGCCTTAAAATTGTCAGATTTTATTTGTTTCGTATACGTACTGAGAAAAGACAGGCTTTGCCTACTAAATAACGCACAACATTTCGTACACCTGCTCTGCATCTGCATTTACCTCTGTTTATTCATGTTATTACCTTCAATAAAATGTTTTGTGTTCAGGTTTAAGGTCTCTTTTTATTTGCTTAGAATTTTCATCCATCAACACATTCATGGTCAACTAAGGAAAGCAGAAATGTCGAATTGGAAACTTGACTACTCCATATTGTAGAGAAGAATAAGTAACACTGACAACATGCAATTTATTTTGCAATACAATCTCAAATGAAGTCACATACATATCAGATGAAAATATAGACACTGCTTTAAAAATGCTAAATTCTCACTTGTTAAAAATCATAAATTGGTTAAATGTAAATAAACTAAAATTGAATACTTCTAAAACAAAATGTATGCTAAAAGGGAAATACCTAAATGAAAATACTATCACAGAGTAAATGGTGAAATAATTGAAAATGTTGAATCAAGTAAATATTTAGGTATACATGTATATTGATAGTAAGCTAAAGTTTGGGGATCACTTTGAATACATTATTCCAAAAATTACTTTTATAGGTCTTCTCATAGTCTTGGTACATATTCCAAGAAAATAGTTTATAATACAATTATTCTAGCACATTTACTATATTGTTCAACTATCTTGTTCACTGCCAATGGAGCTGCATTCTCAAAATTACAAGTCCTGCAAAAAAAGATATGAGAATAATACTGAATAAAAATAAGTACACCAAAATAAAAACTGTTACAAGAATTGCATTGGTTGAATATCAAAAATTTTATATTTGACTCTTATTTTTATTTTTAAAATAAAAAATGATCTTTTCCCACAACACTTAGGAGACTACATAGAATTGAATATTCACTACCACAATTATTATACAAGAGGAAATATACATTTTCATTTACAAAATTGCAATAGTAATATAACTAGCAAATCAATATTTCAGAAAGGATTACTTGAATTTAATAAACTAAATAATGATGTAAAGTCTACTTGTAATTTAAAGATGTTTAAAAGAAAATTAAAGGAATATTTCATGGACAGTGAAAATTCTTAGAGATGCAAATTTTGTTTTTTCTAAATATCGGTATGTTATGTAATTGTTTAGATTTTTAGAAAAATGTAATTAGCAATCATGCTAAATAAATCTTAAAAACTAATTTCAGGGCATCTCAGGAAATTTTGCGATCTTGAAGTAACTATGGTTTGGCAATGTCAATGTATGACGTATACATTTTTGGGATTAGAACTAAAAACTCTGTTCGTGGGCGCAAAAATCCATAAGAAAAATTAAGTTGAGACTGGAGTACAACAGACACTAGAATAAAGTCAGGTAAAATTAAAACGATTTTGGAAAAAATTGGTTTATTCTGTCTCTCTCCGGAAGTGCTTTGCCTCCATTTAAGCGACTTCGTATCTCTTACAGTTTCCGAGATCCCAATGGTGAGAGTCGAATTTGAAACGCTCTGTATATGCGATTTGAATCGGCCAAGCAATGGAGTCCTACTAACATGAAAGCCACAGGATAAATTTCAGGGGTTTGACGCATTCCTGAATTCGAGTCATGACCAAGTGATAGATAAAACTCTTAACTTGGTGCAGAAAATTAGCAAACGAAACTACAAGGATGCTGTGAAAGATAACTTAACTGCTGATTATGTTACTTCGCCGTTTTGCAGAGAAAAGCAAGACAAAGATCAGCATGTACTAACGTTTGATTCTCTATGTTTCAGATGCCATTTTACCAACAGACGTCACTCAAACAGTGGACGAATCAGAACCCACAGACGACAAAGCAATTACCAACGAACCCACTACTCTCATCACAGAGATGACCAAAGAAACCGAGAAAACTGAATCAGAAACTACGAAAGAGGAAACCGAGGAAACGAAAGAGACTGAAGTGACTAAGGCTATGGAAGCAACAACGGAACCTAGCGATAAGAAGACAGATAAGAAACCAGAGAAAAAGTCAGATAAAAAGAAGCCGGGTAAGAAAGGAAAAGATGAAGAAAAGGAAAAGGAGAAAAAGGAGAAAGAAAGTGATAAGGGGGAACCTGAAGATGACGAAGACTTTGAAATTGTGCCTGACACAGACTGCGAAGATGGCGAATGGGTAGATGAGGAAGGAGAACTCGTAAGTCCGAACATTTGTAAAAAATGTTGGTCGGAAATGCTCAGTATTTGAGTAAAAAATGTCAGTTATTTCTAGCCATCTGAAAATATTTGTTACTTTCATAATATTGATTGTTTATAACCCACTTTCCATTTTACCTTTTAAATTTTTTGTGCCTTAAGAACACTTATTGGTACGTTGTGTGAATCGAGTTGTCCATTATCAGTATGTTCATTACGTATAGTAAGTGACTCAAAGTACAGTTACAGCATTCTACGCCAACTACGCATGTTCAAAACACTATTTCAAATATAGGCAGAAGAACCAGAATCAACAACAGGTACTACAGTGACAGGACTAAGCACCACTGAAACTACAGCATTCTCACTGGAAGAACTCATGCTCAGTGATGGTCCTACTGATGGTAGTAGTACATTTGAAGTGACGGGCTCTGGCGATGGGGAGATGAGCAGCCCAACAGATTTCACGGCTAGGTGAGACCACTAATAGTTTCGACAAAGTACAAATGGAATACATCATTTCTTGTTATCATTTCAAATGTCAAAAGTCAAGGAAAGTATTGAAATCAGAAAAAAAATCATGTGTTGAAGTCTCATTTTTCAATTCTCTGACAACTTTTGGGTGTAATCACGAGAATGCCAGAGTGCCAAAAAAATACTTATAGAACTTACTTATTCTGATATCAACTGGAGCTCAAAAAACTAGAATTTTCTATTTTTTTAGCAATTCCAAATATGTAAACTCTAAAATCGTGTAAAATTCATGGTAATATTATCCATAGACAAGTTACTAAATTTCAATTCCATAATACTGCTTCAAATATTTCAGCGCGGATGACGAAGATTCCAAAAATGTTGAACCAATTTTATATGAAAAAAAAACAACGTAAAATAATATATATGTGTGTTTATATCTTATCCAGTACAAAGACTGACACGTCTACCAGTGAAGAAGGATCTGGTAGCGAGTCCACGATCATAGAAACAACAGAATCTTCAGGTAGCAGCGGCACTACATCTGCTACAACTGAAATGTCAGGCAGCCCAGGTACCGAAACAACAAGAACTGCAGGAACCACCGGAACGGGTGGTACCGATAAAACTACCACGGGTGCAACGACGGATGTTGGTTCAACTGGATCAGATGCTACAAGTGGGCAAA